TCAGTAGACCACAGGCCAGACCACCGACGAGACTCTTCCTCCAAAACCACCGAGGGGTGCACAGAGCGCACACGAGCAACCGTCATGGACTCAGGCGGCTGCTCACGAAGCAGGGACAAGGTGGACCTGTCACGGACCCAGGCACACTGTTGGGAGAAGGAGGCGTTAAGCTTCTGGCGCCAGCGGGTAAAACGACGCTCCTTCAGGTCAGTCTCAAATTGCCGGATGGCATCTTCGAGAGCAGTCAAGACACGACCAAAGTCCAAGGTAGCCCCGGAGAGGCAGGAAGGGGCCGGGAAGTGAGAGGCAAGGTCACGAAGGTCGCGGCCAACGTGACGCAGCAGCTGAGGAGTGGAACCGTGCTGAGCGGCCTGTCGAAGTCGACGGAGCAAACGCTTGGCTCTCCTCAAGTGAAGGGCTCAGCCCAGGCAGCAGCTTTGTGGCACACCCGAGTGGCAGGAGACGGCTCCCAGGAGAGGTGGCGCGTAGACGTGCTACGACTGGTGCCAAACAGGGCGCGGTCAGCAAAAGAGCATAGGACCTGCCACCTAGACTCAACGTCACAAGCCTCCTCGAAACAACGGGTAAACGCGTCAGTGTCAAAACGCGCCGCGACCTCGTCAGCAGTGCACGCGGTCAGCCTGGGCCGTGGGCGGGGAGTCCAAAAAGGGGCCTCGGTCAACGGGAGCTCGTAGTGAACAGCACAGTGGTCAGCGAGACCATCCACAGTGTGACCAGCATTCACCCCAGCGCTACACAAGCCGTAATCAATGACGCGCGAACGGCCTGGGCCGGTATGGACAGGCTCCTGCGAACGCGCAACATCCATGCAGTGGCAGGCTCCAGCGGCCACAGGCTCAGCGATGCAAGAGTCCTGGAGCTCAAATTGAAAGTCACCAAGAAGGACAAAGTCAAGCCCACTCTCGTAGGCGCTACCAAGCAAACCCCGTAAGGACAGGGAAGTGCCAACCCCATCACCAGGGATGCCGTAGAAGGAAGCCACCATAAGCTTATGCACAGCATCGGGAGGCTTCCTGACACAGGGCGAAGCCTCGTAGGGGGAGAGCCGATACGATGGCAGTCCTCGCGATCCCTCCAAGAGAAGGCGAAACAACGACATAGAAGCCGTGTCGCTTCCAGTAAGCCTGAGAAGTAACGACACTTGCATGATTCAAACCCACCTCTTGCAAGCACAAGACCTGCAGGCGATGACAATGCATGAAATCACGAATCAAGCCGGCATGGACGCCGCCACCCTTGCCAACGTTGCAAGTGCCGATCCTTACGAACACAGCAAAGGGAGCCCATCGATGGCGCGTCGCACATTCCGAAGTATGATCTGAAAATCACCCTCAGCAAAGCCACTCTCAGCCCGGTAGGACTCGGTCAAGTCAAGCGCCTGATGTCGACGCTGCCGAATGACCGGGTCACACTTGTCATTCCAAGGAACACAGCGATGCTCACGGACGTCACGGCGTGTGATAACACACCTCAGGCACTCCTGGCAACGCCAAGCGTGCATGACCCTAAGACGTTTCCCGTACACTCTGGGCCACAGGAAAGTCACAAAGCCCTCTGACACCATCTTGGGGATGGAGCTGTTGAGGTTCAAGACACGTCGTTGATGCGTGCGAAGAGGTTTAGGGGTTTAGAGGTACCCTAAACCCTAAACCCTAGGATTAGGGACAAAAGACCACCTCTGCTTCAAAGCAGGGGCCAAGTTTGATGACTTGCGGCGCCTGCAGGAAACCCCTGCGGTGAGTCCCCCGCTACGGAGTTGAAGGCTGAGGACTTAGGGTGTAGGGTTTTTTGCCTCCTACTGGTACGGTGTAGGTTTAGGGTTTAGGGTTTTAGGGTTTGGGGGAACTAATAACAGAGATCAGGCTGTTGCGTGTTTCCGTAAAATCCCACACGTCCCGCGAAACTGCTCGCGGTAGCGTCGGTACTGAAATAGGGGCCTGAATAATTAGAAAAGGGTTTTGGGGCCCATTATACTATAATCATGATAAGGAACCCCCAAAATGAGATAGGTAAGTATTTAGGCCCCTACAGTACCTTCAGCTCCATAAGCACGGCCACCTAAATCGTTGCCTGATCGCGGCTTCTTGGCTGTGTATTTCTTGACCTAGCTCCTCTGACATAGAGGGTCTGAGATGCCCTGGCAGTCCGTATGTGGTTAAACGATACATCTCGAAACCCTTTTAAAACTATGTATGGGAGCTTCCGACAACAAGGGGCACCTTCTTTTGGGATCCTCATAAGAAAGATCCTACTATTTAGGGTACTATATCAGCGTCCCCTATTTGCGGAAACCATATAGGAACGGTCCCTGAAACCTAAACCGCAAGCCCTCCAACGCCACTAATATAGGGGCCTTAATACTTAGAATAGGGCTTTGGGGGTCCTTTCTACTATATCATAATATAAGGAAACCCTAAGCCCTAAACCTTAAACCCAGGAATAATATGGGTAATTATTTTAGGCTTCTGTATTACGAACCCTTGTCGGACCTGGAAGCGGCAACACTGCCGTTTTAGGTTTTTTGTGACACTCACACTCGGACAAGCCTGACAAGGTCTGTAGCGATACTGGTCAACGACGAAAGCCAAGGAACTCACAGTAGGTTTCACTGTTTGGGGTTTAGGGTTTGGGTTGAGCGAGTAGGGTTTTAGGGTTTAGGGTGGGTTTGGGGTTAAGGGTGTGGCATATGCCTATCGTGTCGGTAGCGCGCACGATAGAAACTGGCAGCAGTGGCAGAGGTATGACAATTGTAACCCTATGCCATGGTATTAATATTACGGTATGTTGCTACTATTTTATGAGTATTCTCGCATTTTCTGGTCATGGTCAAGTATTAGGTAATAGCCAAGAATTAACTAAGCCTTTTGATATACGCCACTGAGCTCCTGTGCCTGGGCGGCCAAAAACCTGTCTTGAAGCTTGAAGGGTAGCTACAAGTACGGCCAGAAGTAAGGTAATGGAGTCACGTCTTGCCGTTCCAAGTCCTGCCCCAAGTACTAGTAACCCAACTTATCAATATAGCAAGTGACGATTTGCGGCTGACGCTGTATTTCTATGTTCATAAAGTCATAAACTCTGGTTTCCATGAGCCTGTCGAGGCTCAAGAACCATATGGCCAAGCCAGAAAAGTCGCAATCACAATTCGTCAATGACGTTGATGTGCACACTCTTCACAGACTCTGGCTGAATATGGCAGCGAACCACTTGCTCCTGCGAGCCCATCTGTGTCTGTGCACAGTCCTGCCGAGCGGCAATGGCGACACAGATTCGGTCGATAAGGCATATTTATATATCTGACTTTCTGACTTTCGCTTCTATATGTCTTGATCTTGCCTACCTGTGAAGACTTGTGAACTGTGCTCGGGAGCCCTCCACAAACACTAGCGCTTGGGTTTTGTTCAGGGCTTACGATTTTGGCTTTAGGGCCAGGGCTTCATTTTGGCGAGCAAGGAGAGAAAGATCGCTAGGCAGATCCGTCCTGCATCACACGCAGACGCAACCCGGCAAGCCTTGCCAAGTGCCGAAACAAGCTCCTTCCAAATTTTCATGCCTGCTGAAAGCCCTTCATATAAGTATGTGGTAACTACAACCAATGGAGACCATACAGCCCTGGTTCTAAAGCTTTAGGTAGCTCGCAAATTGCAACCTTTAAAGTCTTCGCGCTTGTATAATTTCCAAGAGTCATGCATACAACACGCTGGCTTATGCATGTTCGTGCATAGAGACCCCTAGCATGTTGGAACCTCTGACAGCATAAATCGACATATAAATCTCTACAGTACATATTACAGAGACCCATATGCCATAGTGCACTCGATATGAGACATCTAAGGACAGCACAGAAAGCCGGGAAAGATCCACTCTGCAGCCCTTAACATAGGATTAGAATAAGGCCCTGGGGTCCACCATGGTACAGTTGCAAAGGTACTATACGAGATACTTTTTCCAAGTGTTGAGAGACACAGATAAATGCAAAACCCACGTGAAAAGCTACAAACAACTATAACACCCCATAAAGCCATAATCCTAAAATGAAATCCTTTTGAAAAAAAAACACGATAGCACCCCATAGTCCCCATCAAATCCGTTAGAGTTCCTTTTTTGCAAACCCCAAGCTCGGAACCGGTCCTCCTGAAGAACCGGCACCGGAAGCTGCAGCTTCTTCGGGCTCTGGCCTGAATTTTTAAGTCTCACGAGGAGCAGGAGAACCCCACTAGAAGGCCTCAATAACTCGAAGAGGGGGCTTTATGAGAGTTCAAAGCGGTTCTTGAGGTTGTTGTCTTCAGGCTTTTAGGGGGCCTTGACACAACGTCTTGGGGTATTGTGCCATTTATGTATGGAGGGGCTGGACCATACGGAGTTCTCGATTGTTCAGGCCTCCGGGGTAGGGGTCCTAGGCCCAGGCTCTGGGAACCACGCGGCCAAAGGCAAGCTAGCCAGAGACCCTCACAGCCCCCAGAGTTTCGCAAGGTTTGGGGAGCCGGCCACCCTTAGGTCTGGGTCTGCTTGTGCCAAAAGCTTGGAGTGCAAAATCTAGGGGCCTGAATAATTTGAATTGGGCTTTGGGGTACTAAGAAGAAGTAGTAAGTGTGTCCTAAACCCTAAACCCTAAATGCATAAAATGCACGACTTACGGTCCTCTTCTAACATAGGGGCCAACACAGTTGATAACACTACTCCCCAGGGCTCCTTATTACAAGTTCAATATATCTCTATTTATGGCTCCTAAATGGGCAGTTCACTAAATCAGGGTCCCTTTTAGCGTCCCTCTATTAAGAGCACCTTACTATTTTTTGGGGCCCCCAAAAGCAACCCTAATTTAGAGAACTACCCAAATTGAAACCTTATAGGTACCCTCATAGAAGCCCTTATGACCCTAAACCCCAAACCCTCAACCCTAAAGCCCAAACCCTAAACCCCTACTAAACCCCCTTATACGTCACCGTTCAGGGTCACCCCAAAAAGGACCCTGACCCGACCTACCGGCCGGGCCCCTGGCTCGCATCACCCTTAGAGAAGAACTCCACAAAGCCGCCTGGGGAAAGGATGTCGGTTTAGAGTTTAGGGTTTAGAGTTTAGGGTTTTGGTTAGAGTTTAGGGTTTAGGGCTTAGGCAGGTCAGTGAGTGCTGGCTAAGATGAGAACAACATGAAGTATATGAGCCTAAGAAGTGAAGGTTAACGACTTTAACAAGTAAGACACGGGCCAAAAATACTGACAGGAATCGCGCAGGCAAACAGCATCAATGTGGACGGAACCAAGTCCACCGACACGATAGGTGGCATGTTTTTTCGCGGCCTTATTCCATAATAGTGCTGCGTACTAGAAGTTCACAAATTGAGAGTTCAATCTTTGAAACTCTCAACTCGTAGACTTTCATGCCGTGCATTAACGGAAAAGATGAGAAATGCTAGGTAGTCGCGTTCTGATAAACGAGGACCGCTACATAAGGTACCCACAACATAAGAAGCCACATTTCAGAGCAAGGCCCTAAGGACACGTGTACCCTCTGGGTACGGAGTATTCCTCAATCCCAAACCCTAAAGCCCTAAACTGCAGAACCCTGGACTCTCTGGAAGCTTCAGCTCCAATTTTGCCTCCCCCCTCTTCCAGATCCCAAAGTAGACTTGAAGCTCCGAGTTACAAATAAGGCATGAAATGAAAAGGAGGGAGTTTAAACAAAATGAAGTCGCAACACTGCCTGCTATTCTCCCAGCAACCTCTAAGGAAAACGCACAAACATAACACCGCCGACTGCGCTACAGGGATCTCGCCGAATCTTGCCGCCAGGAAGTGATGTCTGAGCCCCCTTTTTGCATCCGGGCTATGGGGTCCTGGCCGGAAATGTTTGAGCCCCCTAAGCCCTAAGCCCCTAACCCCTAAACCCTAAGCCCTCTCCGTTAGACGTCCGGCCGTGCGGCCTCCGATCTTGCCCAGCTCCACACCTTGCGGGCTGACCTGGGATTCGGACTTTCTGCTCTGGGGCCTGGCATCGGTTTAGGGATTTCGACCCACACACTCAAACCCTAAAACCCTAAACCCACCGGTGGCGTGATCTCTGCTACTGTAGGGGCCTTAATAATTAGAATAGGGTTTTAAGGGTTCCTTGTTAAAATTATAGTATATTATACCCCAAACCCTATTCTAGTTATTGAGGCCCCGACATTCCAAGGGCCATGAGCCAAATCAAAGGCCAGCTGACTTGCATTTAGTTCTTGTCAAAGGATCTGAAACAGGACATACCTTAACGACCTATGCACCCTAAACCAAAGCCTAAACCTGGATAAACCTCAAACCAACTCCGATATGAGGACAGGGCCGCGCAGCCCTACGAGCACGTGCTCAAAAGATCGGAGGACATATCGCGAAAGTACAAGTTACTGTTTAAAGTCGCATGGAGATACTATCACCCACCCCTTGCTAAAGTAGTTGCTGCTATTTGTAACGGTTGTTTTGGGCTTGGTCGGAGCCTAGAAAGCCGAGCTCCAAGACCTTCAAAGCAGTAAGCGCCGAGGCTGTCACGATGTCCAGGTACTCGTTCCTGGACAGATCTGCCGTGGACGCCAGGCGCCAGAAAGGCTTTGCGACCTTCGCGGGCTGCACGACAACCTTGGATTTGGATTCAGGGGCTGACAAAATACCCCTAAACTGCACCCCAAACCACAAACATCCACAAACCCTAAAGTTCGGTTGCTGGGGTTCAGGGCTTAGGCGGGTTTAAGTGGGTTAAAGGTGGTGGCATTGGGACTTAGAGGTGGCTTTAGGACGTAATTCCTATTACCCTTTTCTTATGATTACTGTTGTTCATTCTCACTATTGTTGTTAGAATTATTGTTATTCTTATTGTTAATACTAATAGCGGTGGTAGTAGCATTGTCGTACTAGTGTTTGTAATAGAAACAACAACAACAACAACTGTTATTCCTTATTGCCGTAGTTATCATAACGGTTATTGCGTTTGCTACTGCTGAAGATATAAATCCTGCAATACCTTAAGGAATTATGGTATATTCCTCATTAAATGGTATATTCCTCATTGTGGACAATGACAAGAATTGGTGTTAGTTAGGGTGGCGCACTCGGGGTGGCGGGGTTTGGGACCGGGATCTTTAGGGCCGCCCTTTCGGGACCCTTGATTCAACTCTTTGTTCGCAGCTAACGGCAGCTCAACGGGGTTTCAGCACTCACTCTCGGACATGCCTAGGCGAGGTTCCTGGTAGATCAACCGGGTTTAGGGTTTAGGGTGACAGTGCAACGATTGCAAGGGCCACGAAAAGTTTGTCTGATTGCGATCGCACAGACAGGCGAGAGACACCTCTTTAAGGAAATCCAACCAATGGGTCGAGCACACGAAACACATGGATGCACACCCATTCCTGGTTTCAGTCCCGCTTGTTGCCTCAGATGGCTTTTGTATGAAGGCTGACCGGCGCGGGGGCTTCTTTTCTAAACGAAAGCGGCTGGCTGGCACAACCACCACAAAGGCCAACAGGAATTGCAACGCTTCACAGCCCCTTACAAGAACTGATGCAAGGAACACCGGCACCCACCCGGGAGTACTGAGCATTTCAATCGCAAAGTCTCGTCTGACATCGTCCCAGAAACCGGGCTAGCACCTGCCTCGTTCTGCTCCGTGGCACGCGCCACGGGTAGTGCGCGTGTAGTGGAGCTGGTCTCCTCGGGACCTTCCCGAGTTTTGAGATGTGGGCGGCTGCAGGGCTGCGGGTGACAAGCAAAAGAATATACTTACAACTCACATCAGCGCTACGGCAAGGAACTTGAAATGCGCGAGCTACGCCATGAAGCAGCAGTGAAGCAGCATTGACTCGGCCATCCTGCTACACGAGATGAAGGGATCCATCATGATTTGTATCTCAGTTTAGGTGCGGATATGCTGAGGGCTCCAAAGCACCGGAAGACTTGGCATGGCATTCAAAGCAAGAAGCCTCAACGCAGGAGAGCCCTGAAAGATTTCAATCGCTTACCAAACCAACTCAGCACGCACGAACAAAAAGCCACGACCCTTTCACCAAATCCCTGAAACTAATATAGGTTTCTTTTTACAAGTTCAATAGGGTTTTTGGGTATATTATACTATACTTGTGCTTATCATAAGGAATCCCCAAAATAGTATAGGTGATTTAGGTGATTTTTTCGGCCCCTATGTTGAGCGAACCCCAAGCTGCCCACGTTGCCTTCAGTCTCCACCTCTTCGCGCCACATGGGCTCTGGCATGTCCGACAGTTCCTTTCTGAAACTTCAGGGGAAGAGGGCTCAACCCGAAACCCTAAACCCCTAAACCCTAAACCCTTACCCTATAAGGCTATGTAGGACTTCAGAGTTTCAGGGCTTCGTAAGTCTGGGCTTACGAGCTCTTTAATGCACTTCAGCGTTCAGGGCACTGTGGCCTCGAGGCTTTCAAGATTAGAAACATGTTCGTGACCCAGCTCGGGACTTCCCCCGATACTGTGCGAGTGAATGAACTTACCGCTTGAGGCATCGTTGTGGCAAAGCAGCTTGGGGAGCAGCTCCGGGTTTGTTCGCTTTAGGGTTTAGGGGCCACTCAACGTTGTCTGCTAAGCCTCAAGCTTTTATTAAGGGCTCAGGGCTTCGGCACAGGAGCAATGCCTGGCGAGGAGGGTTGGAATTTTGGGTTTTGGGTTTAGGGCTCCGGGGAGTTGAAACGCAACGTGGAAGACGGGAAATATCTTGTTTTCCCACCATGCAATGCGTGGCTGCGTCGTGAAACTGTACTTCGGTCACGATTCCTAATCCCGAAAAGCTGTTATACTTTACTGATCTGCCATGTTAGTTTGCTTTTTCTCGCGGCAAGTTGCTGACCCAGTGTCTGACCAAAACCCCTTCGGATAAAGGTGGTCTCGGCGAAAGTGGAAGGATCAAAAAATAACTCAACCTTGCATGTTACATCCACGTCCCACACTCCCCTCTGATGCGCTTCCTGCCAGAGGCTGCCAAAGGGGTCCATGGGCATAGCACCGCTCGGCATCCGCCCTCGGGACCAAGCAGTCGCTTGCTGTAGGGGCCCAAGTAATTTTCAAGGGGGTTCTTTCTTAATAATTATAAAATAATGGGCCCCAAAACCCTATTCCAATTAGTAAGGCCCCTATCTTACCCAAGGGCAGTTGACGAAGAATGCTGGATTAGGGATCAATGTTTTCCACGAAACCTCGGGACTCAAGTTCGAAAATCCTCCCAACCGAAAACTTCCGGAACTGTCGATGCCAGGCAGATTGGCCCCATGGCAGAGCATGCATTTTCTGCCATTCAACTCGCTCCGTCTAGTGACTTGTTTCCTTTCAGCAGGCGGGTGTGCCGGTAAGCAGCGCAGCTAAGGTACGCTGAATCCCAAACCCGGATCCGATGAGGATCCCACCCTACAGCTTCTATTAGGGGCACGACACGAGAAGGACCACTTGCCTGCAACTTGCTCCACATCTCGCACGTCATGATCAGGATGATGCATGCCCATCTCTCCGACTCTGTATACATATGTGTAAATATATATATATATATNNTATATATATATACATACACATATATGACATATATAGCCTATGTATGAGAACACATGCATATCCTACATATATACGTAGAAGGGATAAATGTGCAGAAGGGGAGGGTGTACCGGTCTGCGCTGTCCCAGCTGAGCCGAGCCGCTCAGCCCTCCCATGAGGCTGGCAGGATGGAGGCCTGACATCCCGGATAACACGGATCCGTACCAACATTTGGGGGAAAAATCTATGTCTTACTAAGACTCGTAATGGCAATAAACAGTAATCGTCCCAATAGTGACGATGATAATAACAGTACTGAAATACTGAAAGTGAAGCATATCAACAGAAATAATTCTATCAACGTAATAGTAATGCCTACCCAAGAGATACTGATACTGGAGTCTCTGGGAAGCAAGCCGCAGGATTTTCGGAATTAGGGCTTTTTGAGGATCCAGAACTGCACCCACAGTCTATGAAGACCTCCATGGAGTGAAGACTGGGGTTTAGGGCTTAGGTTTTAGG